CGGGAGCGGGGTGCGCGGAAGGGGGGGCCGGGGCCCCCGGGGGTGGGCTCAGCGGCGCACGTGTGCGCGGGCCGGGGCGGTGGATGCGCCGYGTTCTCCCTATAAATATCCCGGCGTGGCAGCGGCGCCGCGAGAGGCGCCCGGCCGAGGAGCCCCGCGGCCGACCGCGCATCCCCAGGTAGGCGCCGCGCGTGGGAAGGGGCGCCCGCGATCCCGCGCGGAGGCTCCCGCCGCGCGCCCTTCCAAAGGGTTAAGCCGGGATCTTCCCTTTGGAAGCGGGAGCCGGCTGCTCCGGGCGAGCGGCCGGCCAGAAAGTTTTGCCGGCGCGAGGCGGCTCCGCGGGAAAAGCCTCCTTGGAGCGGGAGCGGCGGGATGCAACAGGAGCCACCAGGACCCGCCGGCACCGGAGCCGACCCGCGGCACCTTCCGTGCGGCACCGCTGCCGCTTCCCGCCGCTATTCCCAGCAGGAAAGCGGCTGGATAAGCGCCGGCTTCCCGGCGAGGCTGAATGGGAGGATTCGGGGTGTTTTTCTGCTTTTTCTCCTGCTTGCTGTTGGGTTTTGTCTTTCTTTTTCCCTAACAAAAGCTTGGGGCTTTGTGGCGCTCTCCGCGCGCCGCTGCGGCCGCTCCGGGGCTGCGGAGCCGCCGCGACTTTCCGCGCTCCGGGGCTGCGCTTTGCGGAGCCGGAACAAAAGGGGCTCCGGGAACTTTGCGACTCGGCCGGGATCGCGCGGGCGATGCTCCCGCTCCGAGAAAACCCCCCCGAGGGCAGGAAAATCGCYCCGCTTTCTCCCGGCGGGAAGAGAGGAGGGTGGGAAGGAGCAGCTGGGAATGGGGGGTAGCAGGTGGATGCGGGAGAAATTCCCGTCCTGGGGTTTTACAGCCGTTCCCCAGCCCTAGCCCCCACGTCGGGGGTTGCTATCTCCGCAGCGTGTAATTTGGCCAATTATGGGTAATTACCTGATTGAGGGGAAAGCAACAAAAGGCAGCTCTCGGTTTTTTCCCAAGCGCCGGCAAAGGAGACGAGTCCCTGGCTGGAATAAAATCCCCCCAGCTCGCAAAAACCCCGGCATCGAGGTRCTCCTTGCTGCTGCGGGGGCTTTTATTTCCCTTTTCCCCCTTTTTCTTTTCCCGTGTTTTGCTGGAGCGGGACTCAAGGCGGGGGCTTTTTGTCCGGCAATGACAACTTTGTGCTTCCATAGGGTGGGGAGCGGAGGTGCCGGAGGGGGACACTGTGGCACCGTGCCGCGTTTTCCCTCTGGAAGCGGCTCCATCCCCGCTGCATCCCGGGCCGCTGCGTCCTGCCCGCGGGCTGGGGCCTCGCTGTGGCCGTGGAGAGGGAGGAAAAGCTGGGAAAAAAAGCAAAAATCAATGAGCCGGGGTGGGAATTTCATTTGCACCCCGGTGCTGATGGTTTTTCTTGTCCTCTCTTTCCCTGCTGCCTGGAGCTGCTCTTGCTCCAATCCCCCCCAGCACCACATGCACGTTCAGAAATAAAATAAAATAAAATAAAATAAAATAAAATAAAATAAAATAAAATAAAATAAAATAAAATAAAATAAAATAAAATAAAATAAAATAAAATANTAAAATAAAATAAAATAAAATAAAATAAAATAAAATAAAATAAAATAAAATAAAATAAAATAAAATAAAATAAAATAAAATAAAATAAAATAAAAGGATGTCTCTGCAGGCACCTGCTTCCCCTCCCACCTGCTCATGCAGGTTATTGATGTCCCTGGTGCCTGGTTCTGTCGTGTCCGCTGGCCTCCAAATTATTCTTGTTTGATCCATGTGTCCATCCAGAACGTGGCTGTGAGGGAAGGCTGGGCTCCTCTGTCGGCTGAGGCCGGATTTCCGGAAGGGCTGTGGTTTTTACAATAATAATAATAATAATAATAATAATAATAATAATAATAATAATAATAATAATAATAATAATATCCTCAATACCAGGGCAGTTCAGCTGTGCCGGCAACAGAGCACAAAGGCGGTGTGAGGAGAGGGTGGGCGTCACATCCCTCCTCCGTCCTGGAGAGACGGAGCCGTTTTGGAGAGGGGAAAATCCTGACAAGGATGGAGGGGAAAACTCACCCCGTCCCGCTGAGGAGGCTCCGTTTTGGGGGCAAACGGCAGCTTTTTTAGCAGCTCGTCCTGCCTCCGAAAGGAGCTTCCTACAGTCGTGGCTGCCCAAGCTCCCGCATCCCGAYGCGCCCGGCCAAGCTGAGCCGGGTAATTACTCGGGATGCTCCAGAGCTTGCGGCGGAGGTGGGGGATAATTTTCCCTGTTTCCCACTGCATCCCCCTGCCCTTGAGCCTTATCGGCATCAGGCGGCCATTCCCGCGGGGAATTGCCTGTGCCCGGCCGGCCGGCGCCGATAACATCTTCCAATTAGGAGAGGCGCCACCGTCACCGTCCCCGTCACCGCCGCCACAGCCAGGTGCCCCCGGCTTCTCCTCGAGGACACCGTGAATTTGACCGTGCCTGGAGCGACACGGAGTCCGTGGGGAGGCTGCAAGTGCCCTGGGWGCCACATTGGGCTCCTTTCCACTGGTTTTGCCCCCCAAAAGTGCCCTTGGGGACAGTCCTGTCCCCAAGGGCAGTGCAGGGACCCTGTGGGCGAGCTGGGGGCACTCCGGCCTCCGCTCTCTCCCGGGAGCCTCCCGCCAATCCCGTGACTCACTCCGCTATCCAGTTTTAACGAGGCTCGCCAAGATTAAGCCTTAATTCCTGCTCCTTATCAGCTCTCCCGTGTGCYCTCCAGCAAATGACAGGCAGAAGGCGCCGGGTTCGGTGTCACCGTCACGGGGTTTGGTGTCACCGTCACTGGGCAGCTTAACCCTGCCAGCCGCAGTGGGGACAGGGAGGCGCCGCAGGGGCCCGTGATGCCAGCCAGAGATCCCCAGGGATGCTCTGCCGCGGCTCCCTTGCCCTCCATCCCCCTGGTAAGGGAGASGTTGCCAAAATCTGGGAGCTTTTGCCAGGATCCTGGTGCCACACGCGAGGAAATCCTGGCTTTGTCCCTCCAGCGCCTTGTGCGTCCACTTTGCTGCTGGCTGCATCCTCCCAAGGATCCCAGATCCGCCCTTTCCTGGCCTGGCTGTCCCGCAAGGAGCAGGGATGTCAGTGCCACTGGAGAAGAGCTTTGGGATGAGCCCCGAGCCGGCCAGTTTTGAGCAGYGGGGCAAATCTGCCCTCACCACCCCCTGAATCCCCCCCGGCCTCCTGCTCTGCTGGCCTCCCCCTTGCAAATCCCGCGGTGCCCGGGACAAGCTCTGCTGCCCGAACTGCCCGGACTTGGACAAAGTGCCCCAAAACACCCATCTCCTCATTGCCATGAGCCAGGAGAGGGGACGGGAGCTGCAGACCCAGCTCCGGATCCACCTTCCGCGCCGAGGCCCTGGATTACAGAAAGGAGAGGCCRATCTGGCGCGGAGGCCACGCGCTCCTTGCTGCCACCCATGTGGTTAAAGCAGAAGGTCCCGGATTCTCCTCTCTGCAATGTCCCSCTTGGATGACGTGGACACCTGAGTGTCCGTGGCCGAGTCCGTCCCACCTGAGAGGCCCGGGGCTRCTTCCTTCTTCTGCAGGATTGCCTGGGTTCTTCATGGAGATGAGCATGGATCGTGGGCACCACTGTCCTCACCAATGGGGACCTCCAAGGAGGACACACGCTCCAGGCCAGGACACATTTTGGCTGCGCGTGGCACCAGGACAGGCCCTGGGCAGAGGACACCGAGCCCAGCATGTAGTTTCCTGTGATCCCTGCATGAAAGACTGGCCATCATTTTGAGGGGAAAAAAAGGACTTCTCCCACCCTYGTGCGTGACTTTGAAGAAACTTCTGGAGTTCTTCCCACTTCCTTTAGCTGGGAGCCCCTTCTGCTGGATGCAGCTTGCTCCAAGCCAGCTCCGTTACTCCAAGTCCTTTGGGCACCAAGGGACTCAAGGTGCCACCAAGAGTGGCCTTCATCTTCTCCACGTCCTGCTCTGCTCTTCACTTCTCCCTGTCCCTCTTTGCTGGCTTAGAAACCTCACGGAGGGCTCCTTGCCTCCCACCGTGCCCAAAGGAGCCTCTTCTGCCCCTCAGAGATGCTCGATCCCTTTTGCTGGCACACTTCAAGCGGGAGGTTTCAAGGTTGGCAGGTGTCTGTGGTGGCCCGTCCATCATTTCCCACGGACCCATTGCAGCAGAGCCAGAACTTGGCCTGGGACTAGGAGGCCTAGAATGAAGGAAGAGCTGCTCCCTCTGTGTGCCAGCCCAGGCCTTGATGACGTAGCCCAAATCCCCTCCTGTTTGGAAGAGAAGACTCTTCCAAGAGCCCAAGAGTTCCCAAGAGTTCCCAAGAGTTCCCAAGAGTCCCAAGAGTTCCCAAGAATCCCAACACTTCCCAAGAGTCCCAAGAGTTCCCACAAGTCCCCAAGAGATCCCAAGAGTTCCCAAGARTCCCAAGAGTTCCCAAGGTGAGGAAAATGGATGTGCCATGGGCAGCCTTGCATGGTGTTGGGCTGGACACTTCACCGCTGTCTTCCTTGCTCTGCCCTCCTCAGAACTGGTGCAGGAAGCTTGGGAAAAGCTCTGGAAAATGACCTCAAGGGAATGGGGGCTTGGGACAGCGGGTTAATGGCCTCTGGCTGTGATTTTGGACATCAGTGCTCCTGGCTTTGCATCCCGCAGGGCTCAGGCCGAAGGGGCTGTGGTTCCGTGTCAAATCTCCAAAGGGAGATGACTCCTGAGCTCAAGACAGGGATGTCAGGGTGCAAACTCTCCCCTCAAATAGTCTGGGGGGCAGGTAGGCGCAGGGCAAGGCCTGCAGAAACCGTTCCAGGCGGCTGCCTTCCCAAAGGCACGTTTGGAGAGGAATCCCGGGCACAACYGTACCGCGCATCCAGGGAATCCGATGTGTAGGGAGCGGGTCGGCGGGGCGGCGCGTTGCTTTTGGGACCCGCGCTCACCATCCCCGTGTCCCCCCGCTGCAGCCRCCRCCGCCGCCRCCATGAGGGCCGTGCTCTGGGACCTGCTGCTGCTCTGCTTGCTCGCCCGCGTGCTCGGCGACTGCCAGCGCGACTGCCTCCGCTGCGACCGGCGCGCGCACGGCACCCAGTGGGACGCCTTCAACGTGCTCGTAAGTGACAGCCACCCCGACGGGGTCCCTGGCAGCGCCGGGGACCTCCTCGCTGCGGCCGCGGGAGGTGACACGCGGCGGCGAGCGGGGATCCTGCGCCACGGGAGCAGGGATGYGGAGAGCACTGGGTGCCCTGGAAGCACCAGGTTTATGCTAGGAGCGGGTTTACAGATGCATTAGGAAATGTGTTGATTTGGAGAGGGGGGAAAAAAATCCTCCAGGAATGTCCTGCAGCCTGAAGCACCTTGCAAAGGAAACGGTTAATTGGAAAGGGAGGAATTAGCACAGCAGACCCCCAGCCCATCGCCTTGCTGCCTGCTAACCCAGCCCCTGGATGTGTTTTGGGGAAAAAAGCTGAGTTTTTGGGTGTCTTCCTGCGCCACCCGTGGTGCCCCTGGGCAGAGGCAGGAGCTTGGGAGCTGTTTGGGAGCAGGAGCTGCTGCTGGGAATGCGCTGCTTCCCGCACCCAGCTGCTCCTGCAGGAGAAACCTCTGGAAAAGCAGCCGGGCTGGGAAAAAGCTCCCCCATTGCCAGCGTCTGCTCTGCCCTTCCCGGCACCCGTGGCGGGTGAGATGAGGTGCTCAGTGGCTCAGGGACCATCTCGTATCCCAAAGCAGGAGTGATCTGAGTCAGGACCACTCAGGAGCAGAGGAACCYGGAGCGTCTCTTTGGGGTAGAAGAAGGGAAATGTTGGAATTCGGGACAAAGCGTCACCATTTTCAAYGGGACYGAGCAAGTCCCATCCAGCCTTGTGRCTTGGCCCATCCTCGCTCAGGACTTTGGGAATGTGGGAGCAGTTTTCCACGCGCTGCAGAGCTGAGAGAGACTTCGCAGATGGAAACAAGAGATCCCCTGAATCTGTTGACAATCACGACCCACATGCTCTAGTTGGCCCTGTGTGTGCAGGGGGGTTGGACTAGGTGATCTCTGAAGGTCGCTTCCAACCTTAAGGATTCTAGGATTCCATCTACAAGGGTTTTATGATTCCATCTATATCTATACGGACTCTAGGATTCTCTCCACCCATGGTGGCTGCCAGGGCAAGAAGGASGTGACAGAGCAAGTCTGCCTGATACAGATTGTCACCTACCCAATGATCCCTACAGCCAAGTAGGGCGCAAATCCACCTTGGCCTGCCCCTGCTGCCCATGTCTCATAGACGGGCTGGTCTGGGTGGTGTTATTCACTGTTATTCACRTATTCACGGGCTCAAGCAAGTCCAGCAGGGAAAACCCAAAGACAAACCGGAACTACAGTGCCCTAACAGGTGGCAGGAGCTACCAGTGATGATTAGAAGCAGCCTAGGTGCTGGCAGCAGAAGTGGTGAAGCTGTTTCCATGTGAATCAAGGGAATGACATGGTGTCAAAGACYCCGGGATGTTCAGGGTCCTGTTGTAGGGCTAGGACACAGGAAACCACAGTCCCCACGGGTGGCATGTGGCCGAATGCCTGGGGTAATTCCTCCCAGTGCATATTTAAAATTAGCCAGTGCTAATCAGACAAGCGTCTGCAGGGAGGTTTTGTCCATTGGCACTGACTCTGCTCAAAGCTTTCCACATGCCGGGCACAGAAGTCGTGGCTCAACATGGGAGCCACGCTGGGCTTTGCCCACATAACCCCAGGGCAGTGCCAAAGCAGCCCCGAAACCCCAACAGGGCCAGGGCCAGCTCCGATGAGCACCGAGGAGCTGCAGGAAAGGGGCAGATCCAGCAAGGATCAGTGCAAGTTTCTCCTGCCCCTACAGGCAATAATTGACTCCAGCTCGGAGCACGGTGAGCAGATCGTGCTCATGCCACGTTTCTCTGCTGGGATTAATGAGGGCTGGATGGGGACATTTGAAGGCTGCTTGCATCCAGGTTATACTGAGCAGCCTCCAGCTTACGATGCCACCCAGRTCCATCGCACAAAGGGAAGGACACAAACATTGTCCCCACAGCGTCCTCGTCACGCACATTGGTTTGCTTTTCTCCCCCTCACCCCGCCAGGACACGTCCTGTTACTTGCAGAGATGCAACACGGTATCAAGAAACACAAGACTTTTTTTTCCTGTCCTTTTTTTTCTGTCACTAAGAGAAGAACTGAGCGTGGCCTCCTGAAAGCTCTGCCACTTTAGAAAATGTTCGGGAGAGCAGCAGGAAACCTTTACCCAAGGTTCCCGACAGCTGAGCTCAAGAAATGCCAGCTGGAGTGTCTGCAAGGGCTCACAGCTCTCCCATCACACAAGGACCCACACGACCACCTCGCTTTGGGACCACTCTCTCTATATGTCACTCTGAAGAGCCTGGCTTCCCTCAGACATTAAAATTGCACTTGTCTGAGTGTCTCTCCTATTTTTTTCCCCTATTTTTTTYCCCCTGGGTGTTGTGTTTTGTTGGTACTGTCTAGCTTGCCAGGAATAACATCCCACAGTGGTCGTGGCTCTGTGGGGTGGTGGGCAGTGGTGCCCAAGCAGGACATGGTCCCTCAAAAATGTGATGTAAATGTGATAGGATGTACCCGGAGGTGCTGAGGGAGGTGGCACGGGTCACTGTGAAGCCACTCGGTGATATTTGGAATAGAATCATAGAATCATAGAATCATAGAATGCTGGAGGTTGGAAGGGACCTCAGAGGTCACCTAGTCCAATCTCCCTGCTCACACAGGGTCACCTAGAGCATGTGGCACAGGGCCATTTGGAAGATTTGGAAGATCATGGCAATCAGGAAAGGTTCCTGAGGGCCTGAAGAACGCAAACGTCACCCCTACATTTCAGAAGGGCAAGAAGGAGGATCTAGGGAACTACAGGCTGTTGAGTCTCATGTTGATGCCCGGGAGGGTGATGGAGTGAATAATCCCGCAGCCATTACCAAGCATTATGAGGAACAGGAAGGCAAGGAGGAGCAGTCAGCGTGGATTTACTATAGGAAATCATGCTTGACCAACCCGAGTTGGTCACCATGACATGACTGGCTGGGGAGATGAGGAAGAGCAGTGGATTTTGCTTATCTTGACTTTAGCTGTCACTGCCTGGCAGCTGACACTGTCTCCCGTTACATGCTCATAGGCAAGATGACAGACTAGGAAAGTGGKGAGTGAGGTGGGTTGAAAACTGCCTGAATGGATGGGCTCAGAGAGGTGTCATCAGCCACATGAAGTCCACCTGGATGCCAGACACTATTGGGGACTCCTGGGGTTAACAYTGGGGACAGTACTGTTTGTTTAACCTCTACATCAGTGTCCTCAGTGAAGGGACAGAATCTGCCCTCAACAGGCCTGCTGATAATGAAGAGCAGGGAAGAGTGGTGGACACACAACAGGGTTTTGTTGCCTTTCAGAGGAATCTCAATAGGCTGGAGGGGGGGACCAAGAGGAAYCTCATGAAGTTCAGCAGAGGGATATGCAGTTTTCCTGCACCTAGGAAGGAACAACACCATGTTCCAGGTCAAGCTGGCGACTGACCTGCTGGAAAACAGTTTTGCTAAGAAGAATCTGTGTGGATAGTCACTGTTGATGGCAATGTGACCATAAGACAGCAAGATGCCCTCGTGGCCAAGGAGGCCAAYGGTCTCCCGTGCTGAGCAGAGTGGTGCCAGCAGGTCGAGGGAGGTGAGCCTGGCCTCTACTCAGCCCTGTTGAGGCCACATCTGGAGCACTGGGTCCAGCGCTGGGGTTCCCAAAATCAGACATGGAGCTATGAGAGAGAGGGCAGCGTAGAGCTACTGACATGATGGAGGGTTTGGAGCATCTGGACATGGGAYGAAAGGCTGAGAGAGCTAGACCTGTTGAGCCTGGAGGAGAAGATCGAGGGGCATCTCATCAGCATGTTTCAATGGGTAAAGGGAGGGTGTAGAGAGGATGGGACCAGACTCTTCCCTGGTGCCCAGCAKCAGGAGAAGAGGCAACGGGCACCGACTGAAACGTAAGAAGCTCTGTGTAAACATGGGAAGAACTTCTGTGTGAGAGTGTCTGAGCCCTAGAGCAGGATACCCAGAGAGCCTGAAGGGTCTCCATGCTTGGAGAGAGCCCAAAGCGCCCTGGCCATGTGCTCTAGCTGTAGCACTTGGAGTGGCACTAGATGGTCTCCTTAGGTCCTAGCTGTAGCATTGGGGTTGGACTAGATGGTCTCCTTATGTCCTAGCTGTAACCCTGCGTCTGACACTAGATGTTCTCCTTAGGTTCTAGCTGTAGCATTGGGGCTGAAACTAAACGGTCTCTTTAGTTCCTAGCTGTAGCCCTGGGGGTGGCACTAGATGGTCTCCTTAGGTTCTAGCTGTGATGGTGACACTAGATGGTTTCCTTAGGTCCTGGCTGTAGCACTGGTGGTGTCACTAGATGGTCTCCTTAGGTTCCAGCTGTAGCCCTGATGGTGGCACTAGGTGGTCCCTTTAGGTCCTAGCTGTGGTGGTGGCACTAGGTGGTTTCCTTAGGTCCAAGCTGTAGCACTACTGGCGACACTAGATGGTCTCCTTAGGTTCCAGCTGTAGCCCTGAGGGTGGCACTAGGTGGTCCCCTTAGGTCCTAGCTGTGGTGGTGGCACTAGGTGGTTTCCTTAGGTCCAAGCTGTAGCACTAGTAGCGACACTAGATGGTCTCCTCAGGTCCTCCTTGGTGTCTGACCATCCCCTCTCCTCTCTCATCCTGCAGATCTGTGTCCTGGAGTGCGAGGGCCAGGCCGTGCCGCGCGCCACCTGGGAGCTCTGTGCCGCCGCTCTCCCGCAACAAGCGGACGAGGCCGCCGATGCCGACCCCGCCGCCATGGCCCGGCCCGCGGAGGCGGAGGGC